ACATGACACTTAATACGGTTGATCTGAACTGTGGTCGGAAGCCAATTCCGGGCAGTCGGGACTAAAAGTTCGATTTATTTGACAATCAATACATAACCTAGATCCTCATCGATATAGAAATTTAGGCCTTTCTACTAATATATTCAATACCGTTGATGAAAGTAGATTTAATCTGTTTTAAATTGTAAAGAAAGCAGATTCTTAAATCTGAGATTAAAAGCGACTATTTCTGAACAAATTATGTACTGCGCTATCGTGGCGCTATAAGCAACATAAGAACACAAGCGAATTCTTTTTTGACAATATGCGTATACTCTATTATATGCTATAGGGTAGGGCGGTACATGTTATCTTAAATTTTTCTGCAGGAAGTCTAATTCGTAAAATTTGATGATTCATTGAAGATTACTGGGTATTTGACCGAGCAGTTAGAAAATATTTCATTTCAAAATTAAATATGCTACGAGTAGGCCATGCTACAACCTCAGGCAATGTATCAAAGCCATTAGAGTGCTCACATTTTGTACATTTGGTGTATGGAAGGATTTGTGAGTGCTAGTTCTGTAAATAATAGTTACCTTTCATACAATTGCGGTATAAAGGTGCTACTTAATATTGAGTATATAGACACCGTTAAGAATTAAGGGGATTTAATAGAGTCAGAAACAGTGATGGTGATTTACCTCAATAAATACCAAAGCGACAGGATGCCAGTCCTACGGTCGTACTTCCTGCCAATTGCAGCATCAAATGCCCCATATCATCCTCAATATGTACATATGACGTTTACTGTACGCAACCCTTACTGTAAACTTTAAACTGACCCATATTTTTCAAAGCTTTCATTTTTAAACAGGTCACATGGATTCAAAATAGATATTTACTTTTATAGTTGCTAGATCAACTGAAACATAGTTAAAATATAGCTAGCAAGTAGCACATCTTTCTTGTTATCGAAGCAAGAAACAATTTGGCTTCCTTAATTAAGCCAAATGAACGCAAAGTAGAAGGTAAAGGCAACACCCGAATGCGTGGAAGTAACCGGCTGCAAACGCAATACTTATTGGCTGCATAAAGGAACAATGAACTCGCAATGAGCGTTTTCATACTGACCAATTGCTTCTGTCCTTGGTGCTTCGCTCATAAAGTCCAGATCAACCCCAACACTGCTGAACATCACTAGCCTCCACAGAATCGCTCGTAATAGCAAGTGATTTTACATCAAAAACGACGTCATAGTACCGTATAGTAACATTCGTAGAGCGCAGGAGAAGCGTACAGATAAGGTAAGTCTTAAGAAACTTCCAGCTCCGTGAAGACTTAACAATCAATATAACTTCACCTTTACAGAGCTGCAAACAATTTTGCAGTCTTATACAGTGCAAAAAGGTTATGTGCGAGTGCAAGAAATGCGATAACGTGATCAGAAAGATTATCAAGCATTGAGCGCAATGATTACTGTCTCAACAATATGGATCACACAAGTTTGATAGCATACCGTGCATTTAACCACAAACATAGATGAAAAAGACGTAATTCAAAAGCGGTATGGACCTATGAGTAATCATATATTCATTACAATATGATAACATAACGCTTTTCTATGCGTTTTCGTTTCAACGATATCGTTTTATGGACTGAGAGAGAAGAAACGTTGTGTCTCTGGATCCGTGGTGGAGTACGTACAATGATCAAATACCAGGTACGATAACGTAGAAATGATGCTTCAAAAAGGATAGAAAGCTACTGGGCTACTAGCTTCACAACCAAGATTTTGGTACTATAGCTGATTGAGCGTAAATCGCCTTATTGCACGATCGGAATGCTACAACTTTGTGAATAAGTTTAAATGTAGTGAAGGGAAGTGTATGTAAGCACGGGCAGACAAACTGAGCGCAAACGGAAGACGACATTACAAATCATGTTTTCTAACATGATGGCGTTGAAATGGCTTATCGTGTGCCATTGTAGATGATGGCGCCGGTAAGATTGCCAGACTGCATACCATCAAAGATCTGCAGCAGCTCTAAACAATATCAAACAGCTACATCTTACTACATCTTGACCAGATCACAAGGTTTTCGCGGGGATATGTGCTTCATATTGGCTAAGGTGGACAAAAGGGGTTGAGTTGCGGAAGAATGACTTGATCTCCCAAATTTGTTTTTGTATCAATATAAATCAATTAAGTAATCGGTTCACAATTGACATACTTGATGCATCTGAGTGTATGAGATTTTTTTACTTCCACGTTCTTCATATATATCGCTCTACATTCGAATATCGGAAAGCCAAGACTCAGCAAAATTACTACTTTCTTCAAAGTAAAATTGTGCCACTGACTAAAACTATCATCGCAGAATCATTCTGTTCCTCTAGCCACAATCTTATTTTAGCATTGGATCGAAGCTGGGTGAAGATAGTTGAACGTTTGTCGCCATAAGACATTCAGACATGGGTACCCACTGTTCATATATATATTTCACGATTTTTAATGTTACATTAACTTTGCCGGTCAAATAAGGATTTCATTGTCTAATCCACAATCCATGTGACAATTCATTCACGTAGGATGAAGTGACATTCTGCGATGTCATGGTTGACGTACGCAAGTGGACAAATGAACAGACAAAGGTTACATCATTCGCTCATGAAATGCTTGTCATGGTCTTGGAAGTACTTCTGGATCCACGTTAATGTGCTATCGGATCTCTACGCTTACAAAACTCGACATCCGAGTCAACTCAGTTCTCGATAGAAGAAGACCTCTCGAAATAGAAGACCACACTGTTGAGCTGCCTAGTTTACAATAAGCCATGCTCCAGGCAATCGATATTATATTGATACAAGAAGCGATAAATTGAATCTTCAGGCATGACGGCAGTTCAAAACCGCATTCCAGGATAGGAGGGGGGGTGACACCACATTCGGTTGTGATGGTGGAACGGAACGCCGAAACGTTTCAATTAGTGCTATCAGGTTGGCGGTCAAAAGCTACTAATTGGTCTTCTACTAGACGCCGCTGCCTTTACAAAAATAAAGTAGAACGGGACTGCATTGCACTCGCTGCCTTCACAAAAAAAACGGGACTGCATCGCACTCGCTGCACGCAAGTTGTCCATCCTTACCAGTGGTAGTGACCGTTTTGTAGCGTCGTAGCGGGCATCTCAAAGCACATGGGACGCCTGATACTCCATCTTGGTACTCTACTTGATACTTTTGATCCTTCTTCTAAGTCCGAGCGACAAAAGTGTCGATAGTGTAATGTGTACGAACACCATGACAGCGTATCTGAACCTTTCTTCACAAGTAAAATAATAAACACTGGTATCGTGATAAGTCTAGTCACATTGAACAAAAAATGAGCGATCTATCAAAGTCACCACAGCAAGAGTTCTTCACCCTATTGCACCTAACAGTTCTGTTCACTCAAGGATATTTCACATTGGAACACCTCGCCCTTGTATGGTCACATGGCTAAAGGATCAACAAAAAAAGGCGCGGCCGGTGATAGATGACATTACTCGGTGTGGTGGACTAAGGTGCTCTCCAATAAAAGTGGTTAAGATCACTCAATGAGTTACGATCCGGCACTCGAGATCCGTGGGTAAAGCAACTTCCCACCAATCTAAACTTCGTCAAGAATGAATAATTGTCTACGCTTTGCTTCACCTTTGCATGAGTTGGGGACACCGAACTGGCTACCTGCAATGCGGTCGTACGACATTCCGCCGCGAAGTTCACACCGAGATTTACTTTGTTACCATTGAGCTAGACTTGGCTCAGCAAGCCGAGCGTACTTGTCTGCAAACTCAAAACTCGCAGCGACTTTTCAGGACTCGTTCACATGGTATAGTAAAGATATTGAATACCGGCAGTTGCATGCTCCGTCGCAGTGGACACCTTTCGCATGAACTGAGAGCAAAGTCTGCCCCTCATGTCACCACTGTTCACATATACATAGAAATAGCGGTTGTGCGAATCGTTTCGTCTGGTACCTAGCGCTGGCAAATGTGACGATGAGCACAGTACTCAAGTCGCGCAGTGGGTGAAACAAAAAATGCTACCTCTCTTACCTGACAAATTAGCAAGCTAGCTTCTATAAAGCGGAGACAATCATTGAATAAAAATGCAATTCTGACGTGAACTTGGGGGCGAGATGTAACCCCCCTCATATTCTTAAAGACACCGCTCATCTTCAGAAGTAGT